TTTCTTCTTCCATGCCGCCGGCCTTCCCCAATCTGCTAGCTCCGGTTCCTTGCTTGTAAATTCTGGTATGTGACAGCCTTTTAAGGCTTAAATTGTCCATTTAGTTTGCTGCCTTGTATGTCCAAATTGTGTTGGAAAAATGGGGGAAATTCCGGTAGCCTTTGAGCATGTTTTAAGCTTGGTTTAAGTGTAAATTAGCTTGATTAGTTGCTGTGTGATTTTTGGAGAAAATCCCGTGAATTAGTTAGTGTTTTGGCCCATTTTTGGAAGTTGAAGTTACTGTTCACGTCGGGGTCACTGTTCACAGGCACTGTTCACCGGCACTGTTCACACCCCGAGGGCCAACGTTTAACGGGAATTTAAGTGATTAGTTTGTGATATGAGAACGATTTTGGAGATATTTGATCATGTGGAGATTTATGGAAATAGCATTGTGATTAGGAATGATCCTAATGATGATTTCAGCTTGCATGTGTGATAGTCCGGTATTAATTCTCGGATGTTTTGATTAGGTTCCCGATTGTTCTGTCAGTTAGTACGTGAATTGAGTGCTCGGTTTTATGCAAGTGAGGTAAGTAAATTATGGTAATGCCCTTTGATTTTAAAAGCATGTTTTGATTTGTTTTTGAAGTGGTGGCGGGACTAAACCCGTTTTACACAAGTATGACTGATTTGAAGTGAAATGTTTTATGCTTTTCACTAAATTGAGCATGCCTACTTGAAATTTAAGTGATTGCCCTGATGATTTGAAAGTGATTGTGAATTGTGATTTTCCTGTTAACTTCTGCCTGTTTTGTCTCCAATGTGGTCATGTTATTCGTGTGCCCGCTAGTGGGAGGTTTATAAACGCTAGCACATGTCGACATGTTATTGATAGAACCGGTTCGCTCGTGGCCCTACTAGTGGGGATTATACACTAGTAATCGTGTGCCCGCCAGTGGGAGGTTTATAAACGCTGGCCGTGACCTATAGAGGAGACGTCTATTTCATGCCCGTACTCGTATATGTTTTTCGTGATTGCACATGTTGGCATGCTATATGTTTAAATAAGGGCACTCCATATTTACTTACTGAGTTTATCTCATAGTTTTCCTTGTCCACCATTTCAGGAAGTGAAACCGAGGATGGGGAAACCACGGGAAGTGACGAGTTAGAAGGCTAGCCATATTGTAATTGGATATAAATTTTAGATATGAATCATGATCTTGTATTTGGAGATTTTATGATATCAGAGAGAATTTTATAATTTGATCTTTAGATTTTGGTGGTATCAGAGTGTGATATGATAAGTTCCGAGCCTTGTGCACTTGTGGGACCCGTCTCATGAGTGTACGGCATCTGCCACGTCCCCGGATTCGGGTTTTGGGGCGTGACATTTAAATTAAATGAAAATGCCAACTCATAAAAAAAATGCCAACTATGTTTTTTTTTTTTTTCCATGTCATTAGTTAAGAAAAAAAAAAAGAATTGATTTGCTGGCACTTTAACGTGCCACCTATCATTTAACTGATGGGAGGATCATTTTGGTATCGAAAATGAAAGTTTGAGGATAATTTTGGTACTTTTTAAAGCTGAAGGACAATTTTGGTACCAAAGTGAAAAGTTGAGGGATCAAAATGGTATTTAAACCTTTTTGTTATCGATGTGGAGCAAAAGGACATTGGGAGTGTGCCTCTCGCACTGTTAGGCATTTGGTTGATCTTTACCAAGCCTCACTTAATGAAAAGGGAAAAGGAAAAGGAAAAGGAAAAGGAAAAGATCCAGAATTGAATTTCATTGAGCATAATAATGTGGATCTTGATACACACCTTGATGTTGCTAATTTTTTCGAGGCTGTTGAAAAGCTTAATGGTGTTGGTGATACCCAACCAAGAGTTCGACTTATTATGTCCTCTTAAATAATTTGCCTTTTGTGGTTATTTCCCTTTTTCTATATGTAATGTTCTTTCTATATACAATAAAAGAATAATCATTTCAGAATTTATATTGATTATTTGTCTTTTCTGTTTCATCTGTCTTTATTTAAGACTAAATGGACTTGGATGATGCTAAGATCAAAGATGGAGACCTATGTCTTGTTGACAATGGCACAACACATACCATCTTGAGAAACAAGAATTATTTTTCTCAATTAAAGTTAGTCGAGGCTAATGTTCATACAATATCTGGTATGACAAAGTTGATTGAAGGCTCTGAAAAAGTTTGCATTTTATTGTCTAGAGGAACAAAATTATTAATACACGATGCTCTATATTCTAGTAGATCAAATCGAAATCTACTAAGTTTTAAAGATATACGTTGTAATGGTTTTTATATTGAAACCATGGATGAGAATGGAATAGAATTCCTCCATGTCACAACTTTTGCATTTGGAAAAAAGAAAATATTGGAGAAAATGTTAACATTCTCTTCTGGATTGTATTATACATATATACATCCAATAGAATCCAATGTTGTGACTAATCAGAAAATAGTCAATCCAGATGCATTTATCCTTTGGCATAATCGACTTGGTCATTCGGGTGCTATTATGATCCGGAGAATTATAGCGAGTTCACATGGACACCCATTGAAGAACTTGAAAGTTCTATTATCAAATGATTTTTCGTGTGTTGCTTGCTCTCTTGGTAAATTAATTATCAGGCCTTCTGCAACTAAAATAGAAAATGAATCTCCTCCATTGTTGGAACGAATTCAAGGAGATATTTGTGGACCTATAAATCCGCCATCTGGACCATTTTGATATTTTATGGTGTTGATAGATGCTTCAACAAGATGGTCACATGTTTGCGTATTGTCTACATGCAATGTTACGTTTGCAAGATTACTTGCACAAATAATAAAATTGAGGGCACAATTTCTTGATTATACAATAAAAAGGATTCGACTTAATAATGTAGGAGAATTTACATCCCAATCATTTAATGATTATTGTATGTCAATTGGGATTACCGTTGAGCATCTAGTTCCTCACATGCATACACAAAATGGTCTGGCTGAATCCCTTATTAAGTGTCTGCAATTAATTGCAAGGCCGTTGCTTATGAGATCAAAGTTATCATATTCTGCTTAGGGCCATGCTATATTGCATGTTGCAGCGTTAATTCGATTAAGGCCAACTGCTTATCATAAGCATTCACCATTACAACTTGTTTCTGGGATTGAACCAAATATATCCCATTTAAAGATTTTTGGCTGTGCTGTATATGTTCCTATTGCTCCTACACAGCGTACTAAAATGGGTCCCCAAAGAAGGCTAGGAATTTATGTTGGTTTTGAATTACCATCTATAATTAAATATCTTGAACCAATGACTGGTGATCTCTTCATAGCAAGATTTGCTGATTGTCATTTTGATGAAAATTTGTTCCCAGCGTGAGGAGGAAAGGAACAAAAGTTGAAGAAACAGGAATTAACTTGGGATGCATTATCTATATCTCATTTAGACCCCAAACAGGTCAAAGTGAACTAGAAGTTTAGAAAATTATTCATTTGCAAAAGATTGCAAATCAATTGCCTGATGTATTCACTGATGCAAAGAAGGTAACTAGTTCATACATCCCAGTTTTGAATGCTCCTGCTCAAATTGATATTCCTGTTCAAAGAGGTGCTAAAACAGTAGCAAATGAATCTACTATACGCCAAAAGTGTGTGAGACCTATCGGTTCCAAAGATAAAAATCCAAGAATGAAGAGAAAGCAGAATGTTGGCTCCATTGAAATTGTAGAGACTCAAAAGTTCTCTAAATAATAGCCAGAAAATGCATCTAAAGAAATAATCCTAGAAAAGGTTCAAGTTGTTGAAAATAATGAAGATGCAATTCAGGCAGAATTGAAATCATTAGAAAAACGCCAAGTTTTCGGACCAATTGTCTAAACACCCAATAATGTAAAGCCTGTCGGTTATAAATGGGTGTTTGTGAGAAAACGAAATGAGAAAAATGAGGTTGTGAGATACAAAGCCAGACTGGTAGCTCAAGGCTTTATAGAAATACTTGGCATTGATTATGAGGAAACATATTCTCCTGTGATGGATGCAATTACATTCAAGCTTCTAATAAGTTTAGCAGTTTTTGAAGGCCTTCAAATGTGCCTCATGGATGTTGTAACTGCTTACTTATACGGATCACTTGATAGTGACATTTATATGAAAGTCCCTATTGGACTTAAAATGCTTGAAGTATACAACTCAATGCCAAGAGAGATATTTTCAATAAAATTAAAACAGTCTCTGTATGGCCTAAAACAAT